CTTGGCACCAGTTTGTCTACCAACGCGCAGACGCATGACGACTACACACACACACATAAACACACACGTGCATATATAGCAAGCAACATGACAACATCCGATGATTGATGGCCAATAGCGACTTATAACGGTTTGGTTTTTGTCTGCATTCGTCCATAGTTGTACACGTCTTGCTTAAATGAAACGAGCAACGCTGCACATCAGGCACATCAATCATACGCCCCCACAGCCACAGCCACAGCCAGACACGAGCCAAGCGAACAAATGCACCTCGAACTCAGGCATAGGGCTTGCAGTCGCTGCCTTTTCTTTTTGTGTTATATTTCAGTTACAACAAAGCGTGCTTCGAGTGTCTCTTGTCTGTTAGAGTTCAATACAATTGGAGGCTGGGTCAAAAAGGTTTTTAAACGCCGCGTTCAAGGGCGGCTAAGGCGGCTGTTGGCTGTGCTGATTGATAAAAGTTGGGAATGTTATGAAATGGTGGATTGAGAGCTGAGAGGTATACTTTATGTAAATATAGTAAATGAAAGTAAAAATTACGCCTTATGCAAATTTGAATAGCAAATAATAATAATAATAATTATGAGGACTGCTCTAGTTCTATAAGCTATGAGTCAGCAGCTGAGTTTCGAATGTTCATCTCTTGTTAATCAAAGCATTAATGATAAATTTAGGTTTAACATTTCCAGGCATTTGAGTGAACTATCAATATGATTATAAGAGGGGCATTTACCTTTGAGTGTACTATGAATTTGTAGAGGTTGATATTTTAGAGCACTCTCTACCTCTATCATCTTGCTCTTCATTTATGGCAATAATATCGCTTTAAAATTGTAGGCAGTGTTTTAATTGTTCTCCCAGAGATCAGAAGCCACAAGTTGTGAATGCAATAAGAGGTTTGAGTGAACATTCAATAGGTTTGAAGGCTCGATCACAGCCACAGTTATTTAAGTTGCCGACATGGTTTAATATTCTTAATTGCTTTAGAACCTCATTCAGATGGAGCATATATATACATATATATACATATATGTAAGTAATATATTGAGCTAATAAAGTTTAAATTTCTCGTTTCACATTTCAATGTCCTCAAAAGGCAAGCAAATAGGATTTTTGTTATTATTAAACTCTTCGAGGCGCACTCGCAATGTGTGTTAAAATCTTGTAGTACAGCGTATTACGTATACGACAAGTTGAACACGTTAGATAGGCAAATGTTAGACTATTTGTATTTGTATTTGTATTTGTTTGTTGCCAAGCGCTTTGATTGCGCTTAATTTATTTGCATTAATTTGTCAAATTCGCTTGTTCAGCTTGGCAGTTGGCTTAATGTCAATTACCTCGTTTTGGCCATAAACAGCCAGAGAATATCTGAGCTGAGATGCTGCTGCCGCTGTTGCTGTTGCTGTCGCTGTCGCTGCTGCTGCCAAAAGTTAATTGGCCATAAATCAAATTGCTGTTAACATTTATATTTGCATTGACCGAAGCGACTCTAGGTTTCCAATTGAACCTTTGTCTCTGCACTAATTTCTGTGCCTCTTGCAATTCAATTACAAAATTTATGACTCAACCTTTAATTTGTGCCAAAAAAAAAAAAAAAAAAAAGGGAAAGAAACGAAGTTAAGCGGCACAATCAGACGCTTACCTTGACCACAAAACTGTGGCCCAAGTGGACTTGACTTGAGCTTGCTGTAAATTTTGTTTCTTATTTTTTTTCTCTCTTGTATCGAGGGTGCCGCCGATTAAAACCTATTTATGAAATCATTTATATACCTCTGTTTGGCAGTAATTAAATGAGCCAATGCTCTTTTATGGCTGCAATTGACAAACTCCGAGCTCAGCTGAGATCATTAAGAGACAAAAGCTTCCATTCAATTGGCGAACTGCATGTGAATCGAACTCTTTGTTTTGACTCCAACTTTGCGTTTGTTTATGTAAATTCTATAAAACATAATTTATAACTTGTTTATTAATTTGGATATCGCCTACATTTCGATTCGTGTTGTAATTGATGGCGTCCGACAACCCAAACTCGTTTAGTGCCGCAACACCAAATCGACTGTTAATCGATTAATTGGGGCTAGAAGATTCTTCGTCTTCTCTTTTATTTCGAAAGCCTTCATAATTAACGTAATAAATCAGCATATTTGTTTTTACTTTAAATAGCGCCAGCACTAATAGCCATAATTATGCTAAAGAGTTGGGCTGCCTCTAGATCCATGGCATGATACTTTGCTGTCTAGCATGATGAGCATGATGAGACAGACCTCTCGCTTGCTTCCATAGCTAAGCAAGTCACAGATATTTGCGGAACTTGAAAAATTCTTGAGCCGAGATTTCCTGCACATTTGCTAACGAACTGCAAATTGTGCACTGTCATTGCTTTAATCAACAATTATTCACAGTACATTTATAATGAGCGATGCTTGAATAGAATGTGTATATTAATTGACTTTCAGTTTCCAATAAAAAATACTCAGTAATATATAGGTATGTACATATAAACTTCGCTTGAAGCTAGAAAAATAAATAGGAAAACATAAAATGAAATTTAATATAGCTAACAAAAAGTATAATTAAAATATATTTTTATTGGCTACGAATGGAAAGTTAAAAATATATATACAGAAAAATAATAATAATAAAGTATAAAATAAAATAACATTTACCACCAAATAATAATAATATCGCATACCCATATGTCATGTATGTAAATAAATATCTTAGCAGAAAATAACTATGCATTAGCATAGAAAAATCATATGGTTATAATAAAGAGTGAAATAAATTGAAATTGAAATAGAAAATTGAAATAACATTTACTTTCCGAAAAAGTAAAATGAAATTTTAATTCCTTATTAATTGTCAGTAGAAGATTCTTATAATAAATAGAATCGTTTTGTTACTTGAAAAAAATAAAAATAAAATTTAAAAAATATAGTATATATATTAAACATAAATGATATTTCTTTTAGGCAGTATTGCAAGCAAGAGTTGGTTTCATCCGGAATACGATTTTAGCCGAATTTCTTGGCAACATAATCGCTAGCATCATATTCGTTAGCATACTCTTCAGCCATGATTTAACATAATTTCTAATTCTATACAGGTATTATAGAATCGAACATTTAATTTGAATCCTTACTTAATATTCATGATAAATCCACACGTAGTTTTTTTTCCCAATGTTTAAAAATAAATAAAAATTCGTATATCTCTCGCATCTCTGATTAATTAATCATTAAACCATCAAAATAACAATAAACAGTAAATAAACAATAAATTTAAGTGCGGCAAATACAAAAGAATTCTTCTTTTTATTCCTTGTTTCTGTTACGCATAAACTAATTGCAATTCTCTGCATTGTCTTCATTAATTTATTAACTAAACATTAATATTTTTATATTCTTTTATTATTGATGTTTATGCTGAGCTTCCCTTATATTTGATTTGTGCAAATCATGGAGCAACAGCTGGAGCTGGGCTCAGGCTGGCCGATTTACGAGTTTTATAGTAATTCTGCTTCAGCATCGTTTTGGGCTTAGGCATTTTTATACACTTCTTTTTTTTCGGCCTTTAAAAACACATTTATTTGCATGATTTGACAGTTCTCAAAGGCGATCGTAAAAACTGATCGTAAAAAAAGAGAATGAATAATAAATAAAAAAAAAAATAAAAAATTGGTAAAGCCTGAGCTGTTGCTATTTAGCCAACATTTCAATTGCTATTTTTTTTTCTTCTTTTTTTCCACGAGAATTTATTAAGTAATAATTGTTAGAGCAGGACGAGGCGAAGTTCGAGTAGTTGTTGCTGCGGCATTTTTAATTACGATAAGGCAGCCGTAATGAAGTAAGTGAAAACACTAGCCTTGGTTCTTAGGCATAATTATCTTATCATGTGAGCTCATTAAGCGCCACGCACACTCCAATCCCAGTTGGGCCCGGCCAGCTGGGGCAAGTGTCGTCGTTGTTGTCGTGCCACACCCGCGCGGCGACACGCGTAAGAGAGCATATGAAACGAGACTCGCATAGATGCTGGATACTTAAGCTGATGAATTTCAGCTGCCGTGGATGCTGTTCAGGCTGCCAAAGGCCTTCAACTTGACACTTTAACGCTCGAGTGTGGTCAGTCACGTTTCTTCATTTAGCTAGATAAATACTGTAAGATACTCGAACTGCCTTAAGGGTTTACACATTGCTCACATATATAGATTTATTATTTTCAATTGCCATCAACTCGACTATTCACTTCCTCATGATTGATTCTCGGTGTGTATGAGTGTGTGTGTGTGTGGGTGTAAATGTAATTTACATTATTATTGTTTCATCTTCAGCCTTTGTTGGGCTTGATTGTGTGAACAGGACGTGACTGGAAATTGACATTTTGAATTAGCTTGAGCAGATCAAGGAAGAATTCTACGTAATAAAAGCGAACAGTCTGACAAATGATGAATGGTTTTGCTTTAGACAATTAACAATCTTTTAACAGCTTTTGAATTGGCTTACAAAGGCAAGCAGTGCGAAAGGGTTTGCCCCTGAACTGCTTTGTAAGCAGTGCTAACCTAGTTGCTAAAATAATATTAATTTTAAGCTTTTGTTTTAACAAATGACTATGTTTCCGAAATATTTTAAGATATATATAATAAATAATAATTATAGCTTTAAAATTTAAATTACATATACTTTTCCTTTTTATTCATTTACAAATGTTTTATTTGTAAATCTTAACTGCTTATATGTTGAATATTTGGTACAAAAACTTAGACATCTACCGTCTTGCATCTCAGCCAATGCATACACCAATTTGACGAACATTGGTACACTCAACGAAATTGCTTAACGAAACACGTTTATTATGTTGCGCACATTCAGCTACACGCTGAAGCTTCCAGCAGCGAGCTGTAGATGACGCCACGTACGTGTTGCTTAGGCCAAGGTGTGTGTCCATGCTATGTGTGAATGGTTTGGTTATTTGCTAGATTAAAATACATTTTGTCTTGCTTCTTTAAAATCTTTAAAATTAAAAAATTAGTTTATTTAAATAAATTAATTTTTCAATATAAAGTTTTCAAGCTATTAAGCAATGGCAGATACTGATAACATTGATGAATCCTTCGACATTTCAATTTATAGTCGTTGTTTTGGGCTCCTTCTTGAACGTCATTATCAAAGACCAAACACTCTGCGTTTGCTGACCGGTTTTTATGGTTTCTCAAAATCAACGCTCGTTGTTAACAGTCGCTGTCACTGGTGAAGCTGTTGCTGTTGTTGTTGTTGGCGTCGCCGGCGACGTCGACGTATTCAGGTGTCAATGTACGTGTTGGGCAATTCTAATTAATTAATAAATTAAGAATGACAAATGATTTTCAAATGCCTTAATTAATCATTTTTAACGCACCAGCGACGGGCCACAAACGTGCGTTGCGCAGGTGACGCCAAAAACGAACCGAAATTTTTAAAATAAAAAAACTTTGTCGAAGTTACAAACGAAAATGTTTTTCCTCCTATAACATTTTCTATATGGCGGGAAAACGTAAGGGATCCTGACTGGGAAACAATTGACTGAGCTGAGCTGAAAATAAAATAATACAAATATACATGAACTTACATATTATTCAGTAATAATTGCTTGTTTTATTATTATAAAATATATACAGCATTTAATAATAGTAAAATATTAATTAATTAATAATAATTAATTTTTTTATAATTAATAAGTCAAAAGTAACAAAGTAAAAATATAGCTAAATTTAAAGAACATTTATTTATTTAAATTTATTTTATTTTATTTTATTTAAGTTTTTTAATAATATAATTTATATATATAGCATATTTTGGTATTGCTTACTTATCTTGATTAATAAACAAGTGTCTGCAGTCAAACCTAATTAGTTTTTAAATAAATCTTCGGGCCAAGCTCGTTAATTAGTTAAAAGTTATAAATTATTAACTCGCTCTCGATCTCATTCGCATTGAATTTGAATAAAAATTCTAAAATAAGCTGAACTGATTTACAAAAGAGCCTACAGTGCTATATATAGACATACTTACATACATATTGAATGCTTTGCATTACATATACACAAAAAAAAAAAGCAGAAATGTATTTGAGTTTTAATCCGTTTGGTCAGCCGTTTAATTAGCTGACAATGGAGGGCACACTTCGGGCTGCCTTTTAAGACAAATGACACATAACTCTCAATCTCAATATCAATATCAATATCGATTTCGGTTTCGATTGAGATCAAAAATGTATACAAAATGTATGTCAACTGTGGCTGTGGAATGTCGCCAATGATCGATTGAACTCCGAAATACCCTGTATCAAATGGTTGACAAAACAATTGACACTATTTTGCTCTGAATGTTGATTAATTAGATTAGTGGAATTTGATTGAGGGCAGGGCCTGGGCCAGGCACAGCCTGTCTGATCATGGGCCAGCACAGAGATTAGCGCATCTCGAGTGTTGCTTTCCATTTTACCCAGTTAGCAGATATATAGGAATAGAGTTTTTGATTTCTGTCTAGTTTTTATTTTATATAGATATATGATTTATATATATGTATGTATATATACGGCATGATTGCTGCGTCTCAACGTAGCTGAACAAAATACAAATATCATGCGTCGGCGAAGCGCATTTGATCCGGCATGACTGGCAGATCGGGATTGGGTCGTTGTTGTTGTTGTCGTAGTTGTTGTTGTTGTTGCTGGGGGCTGATGTGAAATATGCTGACTGTTTGTATCGATCGCCAAACTCTTTTTGGAGTAATTTCAATTTCTTAATTCGTTGCGCTAATCTCGTGTTTCTCATGACGCTGACGCTGTGATCAATGTCTGGATCTTAGCGCTGCGATGATGCACTGACTCAGCTCCAGCTACAGCTCAGCCTCTTTGACTGTAGCTCCATATCCATTTCCATTTCCATTTCCATTCCATTTTTCTCGCCTCGTGGCATTTTGTGCCGCATCATTCAAATGGAGCTCGTCGCCTGATTGGTAGTACATAAACACGCGCAAAACCCTTTTTTTTTTCTTTTGGCCGAGCCTTTTGAAGATGCAATGCGGCTGCTGCGACGGTTTGTCTGCTGACTGTAGGCCAATTGTCTAATAGAAATGTTTTTTTTTTGTTGTTTTTTTTTTTTTCGGGCCTACAATGGGTTATATGCGCTGTAGCTGAGCATTTAAGTATTAGCTGGCACTTGGAGTGTGTGTGTATGTGTGTGTGTGACAATTGAAGAAATAATTAAATATTCCTTTAAAATTAGTATGTTATGTATATCTTGAAGTATTCTAAATTTAGTATATAATAAAACACATTTTTAACTAATTTAAAAAATTCATTAACAAAATATATATTTTTTACATTTTTGTTTTATTTTGTATTAAAACTGATTCAATGATGATTAATAATGATTATACAAATTAAATATTTGTCTATTTTCGTTAAATTAAATTTTTTTTTTAATTTATTTTTTTTATTTTTTATTTATTCGACATTAATGAATAAGCAACATTTGAACAATTATATTTCAGTTATATTTTATTCTATAACTATTCTTGGCTTTGACATTTGTTGTTCAAAATTTAAATAGTTTATCATCATAGTCTAAAAAGTAAAATCGAAATTCAAGCTGTGAAGCAAAACGGTTTCTTTGTTTAAAAGTAAAGTGAACATGTAGTGCAAGACTCTAAACTAACAATGAAATACACTTCGCATAGCGGAGTCGCTTATTAATTCACCTAGCCATAAATTAAGAACAAAAAGAAAACTTTAACAAAAATCAATGTTACAAATTTATATTATTTCTTCTTTCTTTCAATAAGTCTTTGCAAAAATCTATTTTACAATTTAAACGTATAAACTAAAATAAAGTTATACGGCAAAAGAGATTTTATAAATATATTATTAAATAATATTTTGGTAAGAAACCTACAAAATCGATCAATTATAATAAATTAATTTTAATAAATAAAATAATTACAACAAGTAATAAGGATGTATAAAAATAAAAAAGAATAATAATCAGAAAAAATGCAAATATTTTAACGAAAATAACAAAATAATAACAAATTACAGAATAACAAAAATAACTCAATTATTTATACTAAATATATTTCTTTTGCTCTTCTGCAGTGTATTTGGCATTCGTTGATTAGTTTTTATTGCCTTTGTTGTGAGACTTTCCATTTTCCAATTTTTATTTTTTCAGTTTGTTTTGAATTTCCCCGTCGGCTGCCTTTTTGGTGTCTAAGTCCTTCCGCTGCCTTTATCAATGTGGCTGTGAGATAAACTTGGACAGGGACTGACTTCGCTTCCTTTGCTTGGCAGCTGTTTTGCATAAATGACAGCCACACACACGCGCACACATGTAACACACACATGTGACACTCCCACATACACACATACACACACACATGTGACACTCCCACATACACACATACACACACACACATACTCGTTGTCTCGCGTTTTCCAGCGAAGTTGAAGGTGAGGCAAAGAGTTTGCCAACCGCATGAGGAGGCGTCTGCTCGTCTATGCCCGCCCAATGTGTGAGAATTGTGGGCGTGGGCGTTGCTTTGCTAGTAGCATTCTTGTTGTTGTTGCTGTTGTGTTGTTGTTGTTGTTGTTGTTGGCTGACTGCGTATTTGGCGCTTCCTTCTTTTGCATACATGAATACGTAATTGAATTTTGCGGCGTGTTGTCAATTTTGTTCTTTCCCGCCTGCATTTCTCCTCCTTTATGCCTCCTTTTTATGCTCTCTCTCCCTCTCTCATTTGTTATTGCTGTTGATGATGCTGTTGCGCTTTTTCTACGCGCTTGCTTTCGCATCCACTTAATTTCAATATATTTACATGTTCTTAAGTTCTGAGATGGGCTGAGCATGTGCTACAATTTTTTTCTCTCCGATGAAAGGAAGCTGACTTGTTGCTTCCGAATGTATTTCAATTTAAGTTGGTGGGCAGTGAAAGTTTTGTAGAGAATATTGCAAAGAGAATTAGAAAAGGAGAACACGAAAATCTCTTTAATAAAAATATGAATAAAATGTAAAATTCTTTAATCATATTTATATTATTTGAATATGAGCTAATTGAAATATAACTTTCTTTAAATTTTTTGTAGCGTTTTAGAAATATTAATAATATACGTATGTTTAAAAAAACATATATATTTATATATACATTTTTAGTATTTTTGATGTTTGATAATTTAAAAAGAATTATGTATTTATTTTATTTTCTATATAAAATTCCGATTTTTTCATAACTCTACGAGCATTCGCATATCTGTCGAGTTTTAACAGATAAGGCTCTACGCATTTAATTTGCTCATATATTTTTACCTTTTTCATTTCGACAAAAAGTAGCATTTTGCTTACCTAAATGCTACAACTTCCCTTTCATTAGATTGAACACTTAGTAGTTGTTGATTTAAAGTCGTCTAGGTGTGCACTTTAAGTGTATCTTGACAGCCAGTCGATTGTTGCTTCGTTTCTTTTGCTCAGCTGCTCTTAACTTGTGCTTTTCGCAAGGATTACTAGTGTCATTTCGCTTGTCACTTGACTTAATTGCAATTGGCATAGAGTGAGACGAAAAGAGAGAGAGGGTGAGATAGAGAGAGAGAGAGAGAGAAAGGGAGAGAGACAGAGACAAATGCCAGTGCAGCTTTCTGTCGACGAATTGTTCATGTGTGTGAGCTGCACTTAAAGTGGCGCGAGCTACAGCAAGAGATGAGGCCAGAATTTTAAACTTGCAACGCATGTCGCCTCTAATGCAACACGCATAACAATTATCAACAGCATCCGTCGAGGTCGTGGGTAGCTTGAAAAGATTAGCAAATTGATGTACTTAAATATGAAACAGTCATCTTTATAATATATAACAATATAAGAAATGTATACAAATATATAATATAAATATTAATCATATTAATAATGCAAAAAAAGTTATTATTAATATAATATACTTTTTATTTTTATTTATTTATTTATTTTTTTTTTAAATTAGATTTTATTATTGTTATTATTTAGATTTTAGTAATTTATAATTTTTCTAATTTATATAAAATTATATATAAGAGATATTTTTCAAATATATGAATAATTTCGGCTCTCGCAACAAATATGTGGCATTGCCCACCTACCTTATCCACCCACCCAGTGCTATTTGTGACATGAAGTTAAAATTAAATTATGAAAATATTTTTTAACAGCCACCGCCACAACGACAACAACAACAACAACAGCAAGAGAAGCAGCAGTAACCCAACTCATAACGACGTGCTTGGTATGTTTAATTATATAGGATGATATTCAAAAACGAACAAATGAGATGAGTAAAAATACCGATTTTTATATGCGATGGCCGTTTAATAAAATCCAAAATTAGCGGCGCATATGTGAGAAGAAGAGAGATGGATGGGAGATAGAGAGAGGGAGAGAGAGAAAGGGAGTGAGAGGGAGAGTGGAAGCTGTGACCGAGAGTTTGAGAACCGAGGTAGACAGTGAGACGTCATCTCGGAGATGAATTTTGAGCCGTGATTCGACTTATCGGCAGCATTTATCGCTGCCAGCTGCGAGATTTCTAACACGCGATAAGACTACATTTAATTGCAGTCCAGAATGGATGATGGCTTGGTAATGGGCCCATAGTTGGGCTAGGGTATGTTTATGCCTGCCCAGCCCAGCTCAGCCCTGCACTTGGCTTGATTATGATTGCAGTTGCAGTTGAGCAACGCTGAGGAACGTTGATTGCGCGTGCAATTAGAGCGACGTTTGCTTCTACCACGCATCATCACTCACAATTTTTTAACACTTTTAGTTTGAGGGGGGGAGGGGGGGATGGGTAGATATTTTTTGAACTGATTTTTTTTTTTTTTTGTCGGTTGCAAGTGAGACTGAGACTGGCCGGTGGCTTAATGGCAGTTCATCAATCAGTTTGGCAGCGTTAATCATTGCCGAGAACTATTTTCCATGTCGTGTCATATTTCTCAGCTCTCAGCTTCAGCTAAAAATGCAGACGAGAATTGAGCGTCATTATTTCATCATTTACTTGCCTCATTTATCAGCATTTTTTCCCTCTCTCTCTCTCTCTCTCTCTCTCTCTCTCTCTTTGCATTTTGCCGTCGTCCAGCTCTCTCCCTCATCTGTCTATCTTGCTGTGTAAACTCGCGCCCACAACTTTGATTGCTTGCCGCAATCTCTATTAGAAGAACGTTGAAACGCATTTCAACCAAAATCTTGACGTGTTTATTATACGATTTTCCTTTCGGGGTTTCTCTTCTGTAATTTAGACATTTATCTAAATGTTGACCGCATCTCTTTAAGTTTTTCGTTTGGTTAAATATCCGAATATTTTAAAGAAAAAGGAAAAGTTTTTTATTTTTAGGTTCATCTATAAGTTAATACTATGAAAAGTAATAAAATAAAAATTCATAATTATTGTTAATTATTATTATAAAATAATTAACAAGATAAAAAAAATAATATATATATATATATATATATATATATAAATATATACATATAAAAATAAATATATGTGTATATATAAAATAAATATAAAAATAAAATATAATATGTGATTAAATAAATTTAAATAAAATTATATAAATTTAGCATTTTAACCAACTAAAACTTATATTTTAAATTATTAGTTAGTTATTTTTTAATAAAATTATTATGATTATTATATTTATTGTATTAAATTAAAAAATATTCTAAGGGGTAATATTTTGTAATCACGAACTTAAATTAATTTAAAAATATATTAAAATAAAAAGTATTTTATTTAATATATATACATATATTACAAGTGAATACAGAAGTCTCTGCCAAGCAGTTGTCTCTCTATTTTTGACAATTCAGCTAAATTCCTAGAGATGTGGACAAATCCTTTTGGAAACTACTCACAGCTGTTCATAATTTGAGCTTAGCTTGCGCCCAAAAAAAGAAGGAATATATAAAAGATAAAACTCGATAAATCAGCGCAAAAAAAAGAGCTCAAATGCACAAAGATTTAGCGCTAAATTGAATCTGACACTAGAACCAAGTGAAATATCGATGAACGGCTTTTGGGGGTCATTTGATAGCATTAGCTGCTCATGAGCCGCTCAAATTAACGCACGCAGCTCTTGGAGTAACGCCGTAAAAAATGACAAGTGCAAGCGAGCTCCGAAGAGCAAACAGAACAGAGAGAAACCTCTAGCAAAGGGTGCATAAATTTAACAAAATGTAACGCAACGATTTCTAACCTAGGGTAAAGGCCAAGCAACCCCAGCATCGTGGCGAGGGTTGGCCGTGGATTTGGGTGGGCTGGGTTTCGGTTACGGCTTTTGGTTTTTGGTTTTTTCGGTTTTGGGTCGCTGCAAGTGCGTAAAGTGTGGGAGCTGGATATATGTATGTGTCTATGTGGGTCGTTACCAAGTGCTTATGGGTTTGACTTTTCATTTGATTTAATTTGCTATGGATCGAGGGGAGCGAGCTGCCTGCCTGCCGCTGGCCCCCGGGATTAACTGTTAACTTTTGCCACACTCATCAGAAACAATAAAATCAAATAAAAATTCTTTACGCCTACTTAGATTTAATGTCTTGTGGCAGTTCGCACTCAATCAGCAACGCAGAGGGTAGTTTTGCACAAAATAGTGTAGTGTAGGGCTAAGAATGTGAAAAATTGCTATGAAAATTTGTGGCAAATTTTAAATATGAAAATAACATATTGCAATTGTCAATTTAGATTTTACAAAATGTTTGTGTACAACATTATTTTAGGGATAATATTTAAACAGGATTATATATATAGATATAGTTAAAAAATAAAAATAAAATTTTAAAGTATATATATACATATATATATAAAATATCAATAATATAATTTCATGTGGATTAGGTAGATTAAATGTCACGCTGTGCATTTGCTCTTGCTGCCTTTTGAGTTGTAATTCTTATCTCCCTTGAGCTCCTATTTCCCTTCAAGGCGAATCTCTTATATGTGCTCTGACTGCTCACTGGATTCATTTAAAAGATTGACTATTAAACTCATTGCAAGATATCGTAGAGCAAATACCATTTTGATAAAAAAAAAAAATACAAAAATTGTAAAGTACTTGTTTTGTTTGCGCATGTATTTTTATAAAGATTTTAAGCAAATGTTCTTTTAATAATGAAGCATACAATACGATTTTGAATGCTTTAACTATTTATTTTGATTTTTAGCTTTCAATCTGAAAATTCAATATTTTTTTTAATATTTTTAATTTAATTTTTAATTTTTAGAATAATTTTTTTTGAAAATATTTCTCTAAAAATTTTAAAGTAAGACGCTAATTTGGTTTTATTTTTATCATTCAATATTAAAATGTAATCTTTTAATAATAATATTTTTGCACATATTTATATAAAAACTTCCAATTAATACGCAAATTTGGCGTTAAAAAAATTTTCATATGAGATTAAAATTTATACATTTATAAATATATAGATTACGATATTTGCAACGCTTTCTCTTGAGCTATAAACAAGCTGATCTTGTGAGCCTCGCTATATAAAATAATAAAATAGAAATATATTAATACATAGTCTAAGCTTTCTCTCAAGTCAATGCACAGTGCCTGCAAGACATAAATATACGCCCACGCCTTGAACTGTCTATTGTCAACAGGCAATAGTCAACCTGGCCACAATTCGCAATCTGTTGTTTGTTTTTCTCATTTAATTTTTTTTTTTTTTTTTTATATTTGGGAAAATAAATTCATGTGGTTGCTAAATTGAAGCCTTTTTTTTTTGCATATGTCGAGGCCAAGCTACAAAAAAAAAAGGAATCTTGTAAAACCGCAAAACCTTTTTGCCTGCTGTGCCAATTCATTTGAGTATAATTTGCGGTTGCCAGCAGCAGCAGAAGCAGCAGCAGCGACACTTGTTGACCTGAAGGATCACAGAAACGACACCGATTTTGATTTAAAAGTCTAGGAGTTGGTTTATTGCATAGTCATTACAAAGTGATTTGATGGCTGCCACCGTTTGCTGTTGTTTGTGGTCTATAGAGCAAAAGACCAGCTGCCGCTGCCACTGCCGCTGCCGCTGCTGCTGCTGCTGCTGTTGCTTTGTCACATTTGCCATGCGGTCGAAAATCGACTCGCAACACGAATCGACTTTCGTGCCAATCACGCTAATAACTGTGTCACTGGCGTAGTAGCACGCAAAAAGCGTCACTAAGCTGCTGCTGCGGCTTCTACGACTGCCAAAGACCTTGAAAGATGTCAGTTGGGCCAATTAGAGCGCGTATAGAACTGCAAACAGTTTGGCTTACTTTCTCCGGCCAATCGGACAATGACAAATTTCTGTTTGCAATTTGGTTTTATGTGTGTATGTATTTATTTTGATTTTTGTATTTTGTTGGCAACTTAATTTGTGATTATTTTGCCAGACGCCGTTACGGTCGTGTTTCCATCATCTAAGCGGCTTACAGCCGCTGCCCTGCCGCCGGTTAGGCACTTCACCTAGACAGGCGGACGACCGCACGGCGGCTTTAATTAACAGCTCATCAAGATGAAGTTGTTCAACATTAATTACACACTCGTATGCCGAGAGTGGCGGCAACGGTAGTGCCGCACAGCCTCACTCGCATTCACATCAAAATGCCATTTTGAAGTTCGAGCTAAACAGCAATAAGCTGGAGTAGTAGTAAGACAGCAAAAGTGATCGAGTGAGGGAGAGGGAGTGAGGGTGTATGAGGTCCAATCAATGCGCAGATGAGACTGCGGCATGCGAATCATCTATCTATCCATTCCAATCATAACGCGAAACGAAAGACTTAGGCAACGAACTTGACTGGCATGTGTATATGGCTATCTGTGTGTGTGTGTCTTGAGAGTAAAGATGAGAGAGAGAGAGACAGCATGTGTGAGGTAGAGAGCGAGGCATATCACTAAGCCATTCGTATTTAAATTTGTTTTGGAAATTACATTATATATAGTTTGGGTAGTTCCTATTGTTGGGCAAGGTAAACTATATTTTACATGATATATTTTATAATTATATTTTATATATAAATATTTGTGAATGAATTTATTTTAAAGTAAAATGTAAAGTAAATGATAGTAAGTAAAATAAAAATAAATAAATTAGTAAAATATCAAAATTTATTTAGTTTTATTTTTAAAAATTTTTTTATTAAATATAATTAGATTCAATAAGCATAAAGAGTTTAGTCCTTTCTCTTTGTAATTAATTGTATTGTTGCCTGGTTTAGTAAATTAATATAATAATATATGTAAATGATATTTCTTT